TTACGGCTAAACAAACAACTGAAAAAAATTGTTAACTACATTATTAAATTCTACGTAAAAAAGTGCCTGTATAATGTCTTTATTTCAAATCTGTGTCTTCTATAATAACGAAGATATGAATTTTTTTAGATTTCGCTAAAATGTCAATTTTTGTCTATAAATCGAAAACAAAAGACGATAGCGGGATGCGGTTTTAACCAATATTATTTTCTCAAGAAATAAGCCCCAGAATGTATTACTCGTTTTGGGCTAAACCTCTTAGTTTCGGAGATTCCCTATTAGGACATCCAAAATGCAGCACCCTGTACGGACATCACTTCCAAGACCGATTTTTACTAAATGTTTGGGCAGAGATCATTGAAGATCACCAAATTGMACCCCACATATTACCTCAACGTTTAAKTAGTGCCGTTTATCTGGATTTTTTGGAAAATATGTTGTCCGATCTGGTGGCGGACGTGCCCTTGGCGACACATGCGGTATTTACAAGTGGAGCTCCATCAGATTATGCCAAAGTCGTTACCAATCATTTTCCCTAGAGATGGATTTTAAATACGTGTGTTTTTTTGGGGGTTCACATGAAACAATTAGTGAATTAGTGTACGCAGCTCAAATTTATACCTTCGAAGGGTTGTGTGTGCGAACGCAAGCTTCCCTAGCCCGAAGAGTACAAGAAGTGRGCATTGCCAACACTAACATTACCCTAATGTAGCGATAACTTTTTTGTCWTTACGCTGTTTATGTTCCAAAGTTTTTTCTTATGAATGATTGTAAACATCGTATTAAGACATAGGCGGGGACGGGTTTTCAGCCTCAATTTATTTTTAATTTTAACTCAGAAATGACGTGCTTTCGACAAAAGTTTGAATAACGAAAGTTGTTTCTTTTGACGAGTCTTATTAGTGGTTAAAATATTTGCTCGCAATCCTCAAACACCCTGTATTTATTGAATCGGTAGAACTGTCGTCGACGCTTCCATTTACGTAATTTTTCTTTAATAGAGACGTAAACAAAAAGATTAGCACGTAATCGTTATCAAAATACACAATAAATCACTCTTGAAACATTGTTTTTTTCATCTTGAAGGATTTCGTTATTGCGTGGTTTGCAACCAATTATACGTTTTAAATTGTTGCATCGAACAATGTAATCAAGATAATTTGAGCCATCCAGCTTCCAACGCCCACACTAATAATAATAATATCTAGGGTTAATTCGATGTGATATTTAGCACATAACAAAGCGGAAAATATCAGAGTGCATTCGAGGGGATTGTTATTTCTCGAGTTTTCTAATAAATCATAACTCTTGGAAATAGATTTATGTAAAAAAAAAAATTAGTTGGGATACAACGTCTAGTTAAAATAATTGGGTGACATTTCAATAGAATTTAAAGTTTGAGCGAGGAATTACATTTTAAAGGTCACATAAACTGAACATCAAAAGCCAAAGTGGGCGTTTTTAATAAATTTACTAAGTTACGTCCAACTTGATTTCTGATCAAAGTGGCCTGGGATTTTGACATTACATAATAGTATATTATATCACAAGTTAGAGAAGAGATTTTGTTATAGCCGAGCTGTTTATTACCCGAGATGCGTAGGATCGAGGGAAATAATAACTGCGAGGATATAAAACTTCTCTACAGGGTGATTTTTTAAAAATGTCAGGCGAAAATTTTAGATTTTTTTAATCTCATGGTATATTTTGGGTTATATTCAACTTTCTTATTTTAAATTAGGACCCATATTTTCTTCTTCATAATTTGGAAGGTATTAGTTTTCTTGGTACAGACATGTGCAATATGTTTTATTTTTACTAAAAATTTTTGATTGAAAAAATATCAAAATTGGAAAAGTTTAAATAACCTAGTTGCATGGTGTCAAATATGACAAGACGATTATTGTAATGTCAAAAAACAGCAAATGAAAAAAAAATATATTGCTACTATTTTTTAGAAGAAACGACAATAAAATGCTCTATAACAAATCAGAAAAACATATAATTCAGTGTTATTAATTTATTGCTTATTTATTTTGTTTGCTTTTAATAAGAGTAGGGTTAACGTTAATTTTTTATTGACGCTATGCAATCAGATTTTATTAACTTTTATTTTTTTTACTTTAGTATTTTTATAATGAAATTTTTTTGGTAAATGTATTGCACAAAACTAATATCTTCCAAATTATCAAAAAAAATGAATATTTAAAAATATAGAAATTAAAAATGCGGTTGTGAATAAAGTTGTATTTAAACCAAAATTTCACTCTCCACCTTGTCATGTAATCMACTATTAAAAATTCCATCTGTCAAAAAAATTTGAATATTGGCCACCTATTTGTCGCTGTAAATTTGTAAAAATTGAGTTGTGTAAATATGACTTTAAACATTTCTACCAAAAATGACAATACTGAGAAGGTAGGATTTATTAATAAAAAGTATACAGGGCGCACCAGAACTCGCGCCCCAGAAAAAATTTCAAGTAAGATAAGATGGAAAAAATTCTATCTGTCGAAAAATTGTGACATTTATTTTTTGACACTTGACATTTTTTTATGTCTATTTAATGATAATGATGATCTTGTATATGTTTTTTTTACAATTATTCAGTAAAAGTACAAAAATTTTGCCAATAAAAGCCACAAATAATATTAAACAGTGTTACAATTTAGGATACTCCTTCCTTGTTTCTTCTTTTAATAGCTTATAGCAAAAAAAAACTTGAAAAATTAAACAGAAATAAATAGAGTCAAAGTGCAAAATCTCATAACTTCTAAATTTTTTTAGATATTTTTTTTAACATTTTTTCCATGTTCCTGATATCTTACCCTATATGTCTGTTCTCTGGGGGCGAGTTCTGGCGCATCCTGTATAGAACCAAACATTTTTTGATTAAATTATTTATTTTTTGGAAAAACTAATTGATGAATGAGAAAGTACTATAAAAATGTGATGTTTTATCGAGAATATTTTTTTTCGAAAGTTTCTTTTGTTTTTGAGTTCTACAATTTTTTTTTTATTTCTTTGAATGGCCACCCACGATTCTTTCTTATGAAGATTATGATCTAAGAATTATAACCATCTACTTTATATTTTTTTTTTACATAAATTGCAATTTTCACAGTAAAAATCGCATAACTCAAAAACACAACAAACTTTTTAACTTTATTTTACATTAATTATTACTTTCTGGAGACAAATGATTTAAAAAAAAAACCCTCTTGGTTCCATATTTTATCTTCATCCTGTATAAAATCTACTCACAATATAGTTACTTCTGCTGCCAATATAGACTCAACCCACACACTAAATATGGCAGACTAGGTGCTACCAACTAATAAGAATAATAAATTAAATGGCCACTGCGACTTTATATATTATTTCATAATTGTTCAGTAAAAGTACAAAAACTTTGCTAATAAAAACCATAAGTAACGTGAAATTATATAAATAACAAATTCTTTGTTTATTCTTTTAATAGTCTGAACAAAAACACGTGGAAAATTATTTTTCCTACTGAAAGTGCAAAAATGAAACCCCCATAATTTCGTCGAAATTCTTTTTATATAGAATTTTTTTCTGAACCACCCTGTATTATAGTTGTTTTAGGGTAATTTTCTCCTACATGACACTGTATTTTGTTTCAGTCTTGGACGTGGAGGCATTCGAGCGACTCTTGGGCCCATGTATGCAACTAATGAAGCGCAACATCACCGACTACGAAGAACAAATGCTCAAGATCTTCGGCTCAAAGCATAACATCCGCGACATTCGATGAACGGAGCCGATTTAAGACGCTCCCGCCCGCCGCCTTCTCTGAACGATAGTCGAACAATCCCATCCCCAATTTGTATTAATTTCAAATTATTACATGTCGAGTAGTAAACAATCAACGTGTGTCTACGTCACTAAAAAAATTCATCATCGGGGTGCAACAGTTTACTAGTCATGTGTATATAATAATGTTATGAAAGTCCAATTTTTTTCGTTGTTGTTGTTGTTGCTTTGACGGTCCAGGACGCGGCCCCCTACTGCTGGACGGTGTGCGGCCCCTTTTACCCCCCTTTTTACGTGTGTTTGGATGCAAGTCGTTATCGTTCGAGTCTTCTCAAGTGTCATTTTTCCTCCAGCAATACATCAAGCGAACGTTGTGCCAAAAGTCAGTACAAAAAGACATGCAATAATATTGCGATAGCAACAGTATTGTCAATTAGASTAGGTTTTGCCGATTTTAGTATTACTAGTAGATGGCGCTTCGCTACTTAAGTGCAATATTAGCGTCCTTGGATTTTTGAATTTGCCGCCTTGGCAGCGCCCTCTTTCATGCAATAGGCTTTTGGCACAATTCGTTCGATTTGGTTTAGTTTGCCATGCATCCCAGTTGGTTTCAATGTTCCATATACAGTGTGATCCAAGTGTTTTCGTTTATTGAGGCTATATTGTGTCACAAACTAKGACATATACGTTGGCAATAATGTGGTATAGTTATCGCCAACGTATTTTCCTACAAGTGGCAGTTCCTTTATTTTTTGTTATTGTGTTCGAGTTGTTTTATTAGTTAGTTTGCGGACACAGGAAGACTAGAAGCTCCATGTGAGTCTTTGTTACTAATTGTTAATCGTACAAAGAAAAAATGGTTAACACATCTTCTTTATACAAAACATATACATATTTATTATAGTGTTATATTCGTGTGTTCTATGCCAGGTTTGAGCAGTTGTATAATTTTCTTCGAACAATCAGTTTGTCTGCGGTTTTTGAACTAAGCAATGACAGTTTGAAAACTGTCAGACAATTAATAATAATTAAGGCTGATAAATTATAAATATGAAGTCACGATTGAAAGATATTAAGTGGAGTATTTATTTTTATGTAACGAGAAATGGAATTGAGAGAAGAATACGCCCTAGTTATAGTAACTTTTAAGCGAAAGTTACTCATATCACATAAGTTCAGGTGAAAGGTCCTTGTAACAAAAACCGTAAATTTGTAAGTTAATACAGACTTTTTATGTTGTGGGTGGGGTTTGTTAGACTTGGTGCCTCTCGTGTTCATAAACAATCAAATCAAATCAAAAATATTACCACTGACTTAGGAAACGGTACATTTTAGACTAGTTTAAATAAATATGAAACAATGGTCTATTATGTGCCTTATAATCTCTCTGACTGACTGGTTTCAGGCACTTGTTCGAAAAATTCAGCTTGTGATTGGTCTAACAAGTCCCACTGGTAATTTAGCACAATTCTAATATTTAAATGTGTAGACATATAGCTAGGTGTATTATGTAGTGGCTTGTCAGTTCATATTCACTGTTTCGAGAGAAGGTAGAAGTAAACAGGTCGGTTCATCCTATGTGTTATTTGTCAAAGTTGAATGTTGATTGTTTATCGTGGTATGTGTTTCTGTCCCGACCATCTTTTCATCGAATCGTCAAGATCGGATGTGAGACACATCCGACATTGGCGATTTCTACTATAAAGTGTCTCTAAGCACGAATAATGCCTTTTTACTTATCGTACCAAAAATTAGAATCTCAATTAAGTTATTTGTACACAAGAGATTAATTATAAGTGTTCGCCATGTCACATGCCATATTCTAAACACTCTGAGCTGACTCGCTCGTCCTGTCTGAGATTCCTTAGTCATATGTACTGCTTCCACCAGATGACTAAATGAGCTTATTAAATTCTCAAGGGTTTTATTTCGCCCACCGCCTCCTTTATCAAATGTATCAATATCCCGCCTGGGCATTTCGTAAAAAATGRATTAGTTACGGGGGTTACTAAGGAAAAACTGAATGATTTTTAATTATTAACGAAAAATAACGCAATTAATAAAAGCTGGGAAGGAAGGATATAACAAAACTAGATACGCCACACAGTGGAACGAATCAATGTATTTAATGGACATAGCATCTATTTTGTAATAATTAAATTTGTCTTCTTTTTTGCTCTTACTTTATTCTTTATACTTTTAGTTTACATAGTCCATGCTCAAATTATTTGTAAAATTAAAAAGCCTACATAAAAACATATTTATTTGAAATTTTTATTTTTGTGATGGTGTCTCCAATTACAAAATTCTTTTATTGGGAAATAAGTGAACCTTATTAGGATAAGTTAAGTTAAAAAAAATTAAGGTTTCAGTCGACCGTTAAATTTTTTTATCAAAATAAAAAAAAAAAACTTTGGAAGTGAATTACAAAAATCGCTCAATATCGCCCAAAAACTGTCTTTATAGTATGAAACTATATTACTAATTTTTCTGATGATCTAATGGGGGTAGGATAACGTTTCACATACAGGGTTATTCATAAATATGAAGCAATATTTGAACCTCAAAAATGACCTATAAAATGATGTTAATTTAAATAATAACTCGTGTTCTATCTCTACTGACAAGAATTTTACAGCCCTCGGAATGTGGGTATGGAAATTTGATTTTTTTGTAATAACTTTGGAACTATTTMACCAAATATTATAAAATTTGGAACATTTCCCTGTGACAACATACCCTTTAAACTGGTAATCACGCAAACCGCACTGCATCCACTCAATTTCCGGTTCCAGCAGTTGCAGGTCACATTTTCTGTGTTTTTCCATTTTTTTGCTCTCTTAACACCAATTTTTTATTGCTCAAATCGATAGAGTAATCAATTTCGATTAAAAAACGCATAAGCCTTTGATACCCCTAAAATGGACCGTTTCAAAGATATGTTAATTTAAACTGAGGACTGCACAACGCTGAAACCAAAAAGTAGGGATTTTGAATGGATGATATCCACGGTAACAAATGACCATGGTCTCACTAATTGCTGTCAGGCATCTGTCAACTTTGACATTGGACGATTATTAGACAATTAATCGAAAATATTTAATAAAAGAGTTTACCTCAGATTCCAAACATAACTTAGAATAAATCCAAATGGATCTCGTAGCATTTAATTCATAAAAAATTCACAAAWATTTATRGTCAAAGTTAACAGATGCCTGGCAGGGATTTATGTGACCATGGTCATTGGTTGCCGTGGATACCATTTATTCAAAATCCCTATTTTTTGATTTCAGCGTTGTGCAGTCCTCACTTTAAATTGAAATATCTTTAAAACGGTCCATTTTAGGGGTATTAAATGCGTTTTTTAATCGAAATTGATTACTCTATCGATTTGGGCAATAAAAAATTGGTGTTAAGAGAGCAAAAAAATGGAAAAACACAGAAAATGTGACCTGCAACTGCTGGAACCGGAAATTGAGTGGATGTATCCGGTTTTCGTGATTACCAGTTTAAAGGGTATGTTGTCACAGGGAAATGTTCCAAATTTTATAATATTTGGTCAAATAGTTCCAAAGTTATTACAAAAAAATCAAATTTCCATACCCACATTTCGAGGGCTATAAAATTCTTATCAGTAGAGATAGGACACGAGTTATTATTTAAATTAACATCATTTTATAGGTCATTRTTGAGGTTCAAATATTGCTTCATATTTATGAATAACCCTGTATATTAAGAATAGACAAAAGTATGTCAAATAAGAGTGATGCTAAGCGTTGTGGACACCTCTCAGACCTTCAAAAAAGAAAATTCATTGAGGTGATGGGACAGGATGACACTTTGCGGCAAGGAAAATTTAATTCTTCATTTACCCACAAAGATGCTCAAAATAAATGGATGCAAATTGCAACACAATTAAATGCTATCCCGGGGGCACTTAGAGATTGATAGATTGATACACCTGCTTACTGTTGATTGGCTAACAGCCCAAAAAAGATCATATGCACCCGAATTTTGATAGGACCCACTAGCAAAAAAATTTAGAGCAATAAGAATTTTGGTTTGTTTCGAAATAGCAGATCTTCTAGTAGGTGCATCTAAAAAATCATCCAACATGCGCATCAATTCTCCAATTAATTCTTTCGATAAACGGAAAATTTTAATAAACATTCGATCATTTAGGGTCTCAAACGGGTCTAATTTCGGATAAACACGTCGTCGTGCTTGGGCAGCCATTACTTGAGCCAAATCTTCATTTTCAATAGCTTGGATTGCAATGAATTCTTRCATTTTTTTTCTTTCGCAAACACAATTATTAAGAAAAATGTCACTTTGACAGTRGAATTTTTTAAATTTCTCACGAAAAAGTTATTTTCCCATGATAAACACTAGGTCCATAAGTCCAGAATACACTTTTGCATTTCTCATGAGAAAATTTGCCTATTTTTCCAATGAGAATTAATTCCATCGATTCAAGAATTGGGCACCAGGTGAGAAAAAGATTATTTCTGTGGAGACGGCGATGATTTCGCCAAATCAAACCCCAGTCCTCAATTCAATCATTTATTACAAAAAAATTGTTTACGAATACTTGTCAAGCAGTCTCCGGTTCCTTATTATACGTGTCCATGATCTTCTCCATGATCTCCCAATGCTTGTCCTTTTGCAAGTCCTTGACAAACACCGAGTACCAAGTCTCATCGTCCTTGTCCTCGATCAGAGGCAGCCTCACCCCGTAGCACTGCAGCGCCAATGAGATGCACGCGATTGCGACATGCTGGGGCTGGTAGTCGAGGATGCTCGGATCGTGGTGGAAGTCCTGGAGGAAGGCAGCCGAAGTCCGGGCGACCGGAACCTGACTCCATTGCTCCTTCCCCAGCCAACTCTCCATCGACCTGAGGTAGTGCAACATGTACTTATGGGGGTGCGTGATGGAAACTTCGAATTTCAGCACGCGCATGATGAGGAGCTCCGCCTGGACGATGGCGTCGCGCATGCTCCAGTACTCATCGCCGATCTCAAGGGGGCTGCTGCCGCGGTGCAAGGTGTTGTGGGCCACGTTGATTATGTCGCGGATCTTCAAGGGGTCGTCCTTCACCTTGCCGGCGAGGTACAGCGAGGAGGCGGCGATTAACTGTCAAAATAAATAAAAATAGTATTTTACTTACCGAGATGGAGAGAGATTAGAAAGTTTAACTTTATCTCGAAAAAAATTAAACTTCCATGAGGTTTTATGATCCTATTTTCATGAAAAAATTAAGCAAAAAAAGTCATTTGTTTAATCAGTGAAAAGTTACAGCAACCAAATAAACAGGAAAAATTTGACAAATTGGTTGTGTTCTGCTGCTTTCAAATTTCAAACGGAAGACACGGTCAATTAAGAAAAATGTCAATATAAAAAATATTCGAGGTTATAAAACAATTCTTGTTTAATTTGTAGTAATTACTTTATCACACGTGTGAGATAATCTAACCCATTACATAATTAAAATGAGTACGATATATCGCATATATCTCACCTAGAGATTGTAGATAAAACAACTTAAGTTTATTGTATTTTCTCACTTATATTTTAAAATATTAACAAAATTTTGCAACCAAACACATTTAAGGTCGGTTTATAGACGCGTCATAAAATAATTGCAATCAAACGTCAAATTAACTGATCACGTGACCATATTGAACCAACCGGATGCTCAGATTCACGAGCTAATCACACATTAAGTTTTAATAACGAATTAATTTTTAATTCGTCTTCTATTTAACTTTTAAATAAATGTTACATTTGATGTTTCACCGACCTCACTTAGAACTTACTTATTAGATAATAATATATATTGTGTTATAAACGACACTTTAGTCACGAATTTTATGTTAGGCACGAGTAAAGCGACTGTTTAATAAACAAGTGTCTAAGAAGTTTATAAAACGTGTTGCATACTATACTTTTTTTCGACCAAAAAAACAAACATGAATTATAAATTAATTTAATTCAATGACATATTTTTCGCATCTGATTGCCACATAGATAAACGTCAAACTACCAACTTGATATGTCAACAAAACATGCCTCGTTTCTAATAAAACTTGTCAGTGCAAAATATGATGGCAATAAAAAATATACAATTAAACTGGACAAAATTGATCATTTCATTTTTAACACTTTTGTATAGCAATTTTAGTAAGGTTTGGAAGTTTATTATAAGCTACTTGTACCTAAAATTGAGAAAAAAAATTCCCTATATTAGATTGTCTTCATCAGTATCATTTCGTCACCTAAATTCTCTTCTCATGAAAAAAAAAGAGACGACCAAGACCATTTATTAACGATTAAAGTTAATCCATTTAAAAATTAGGAAGATGATGAGTTTTAAACGCGGTTTCGGTTTTCAAATTTTCCAATTTTTTTCAGTTTTAATTTTTTCGCARTTTTCTTCAAATTGTCTTAAACATTTTTAAGTTGCTTGTATTGTAAATGACATTCATACTTGAATTTTCAGTTTTTTCTTGTTATTAAACTATTGTAAAAATGCCATTTCTATTTTCTTTTAAAAAATTTCAACACCTCGCGGTTTTTCTATTGGGGTTCTGAGTCCAGTTTTTATTTTTTCTTAACAATTTATCGCACAAACTGCCAAAATTTACACTTTTTACACTGTCACGAATAAAAACATGGTATTTATAAAAAAAAAGTCACAATAGTTTGGTGAAACAATTTTTAACAATAGTTATTTATTATACAAGACGATAAAGAAATTGTTTATCTACGAGTGAAAAGGTTAAGTTTACGAGTGACAAAGTCACGAGTGGACTTTTTTCACGAGTAGACAAACAATCTTTATCGTCGTGTATAATATTTCGTTTTATTTTGTATTCACCTACCAGAATTTCTTGAATGTAAGCAGTAGATAAAAATTACTTTATTTCACTAGACGATAAAAGACTACTTTATCTACTGAAATTAGTCGATAAAAGCACTCTTTAACATTGAGTACAAAATAAATAAATAAATAAATACAAAAAAAAAAATAAAAAAAAATATTAGTCAAATAACTAACAATTTACTCGTTGATCAAACCGGCCCTTAACCGATTTTTTTGAAGATGTATTTAAATCAAAGAAAATAAAAATGGTGAAAATTATGACAGATTTTAAATTAGCCGTCGAGTTTAGTTCATAAAACAACCACGAGACGGCGCCAAAATCGAAAATTTGATGACAAGAAAGTAGTGTGCTACTTGAATTTCTATAATCCTTGTTATTAGGTATTCAAGGTTTTGTTATCTCTCCAAAACCAATTTAATTATCAATAATGCAGTTAGTGTGTATATTTACATAATTTTTCCACGGTTTTGACCTTTTTTGGTGAACCAGATTTGAACTTTCATGCCCCCCGGCCTACAAACACAGTCTAGACACTTACAAAACAGTCGTATTTCGATTGATCCACTTCCTTGAAGAATTTGTGCATGAGAATAGCCGCCGTGGCGAGGGTCAGGGGTTGGCCTTGCAGTTTCATTCCGCACTCAAAGATGAACCTTGCAGGAGTGAAGCCCCCATTGAAATCTAGGTTTCTGTAGTCCACGGGTGTGATGCGCTTGTTGCGTTCCCGTTGCAGTTCCATAACGTCGATCACGTCTTTCATCTTGAAGCCTTTAAGGTGGAATTTTGGCAAAAACCTTGATGGTGTATTATTTATTTGACTTACTTTTTTGCGTCAATTAGGGGAAACTACCCGCCGGCTTCTTGGTCACAATTTAACTCTGCTTTTGGTGTTCTAATTGCCAAATTAGTGCCGGGGGCGATTCCGATTTGGTGCCACAACGAACTGTAAACAAACTTTATCAAAAGTGGACGGGGCAAAACAAGACGTGCATTTTTAACAGTAGAATAGTAACATGGATCGACGCCAGGGGGCGCGTTTTTTAAAAATTCAAGCATTTTAGAATAAAATTTCAATGTTTTTCTCAATAATTAAGTGCGTTACTGGTGGTAAGTCGTGTTTTATATATTTTCTACATCTTATTTTAAGAGAATTTAGAGTGACGCGCAAACCGGCTAAGTCTAGTGGGGACCAAGTCATGAAGTGGCCAAGATTTGTATTTTGGCGCTTGTTTTTTGCAAGTTAGCCAACATTCATGTTTTTTCTGTATGTTGTAAAAGTTTGAAATAAATTTTTAACTTTTCTGAGTTTAGTTTTTATTTCCCATAACTTGTTCAAATTTAATAAATTCAAGTTTATTTTAATTCAGGCACTAGGAAATTTTTATTTATTATTAGATATGAGTGCAAAGTAATTATTACTTATCATTTTTTTAATGTTTCAGAAGTATTTAATTAGCAAAGAGTCCCAAAATCAAATTTTGGTTGTTCTGCGACTTGGCCACTACCAGATTTGGCCACTAGTCGCAAGGTGACAACATCACACGAAAAAATCCCCAACTCCTTTCCTTCTTGGCTACGACTAGTACAAGGTATTTTTCACATTTATCAAATTTATCCAAAAAACCAGCAACCATCCTGCTAAATTTTCGTCATATTATCAACAAAAACCACCTTCTGGGCCCCATGGCACTCATATTTTGCTTTGTTTCAGAAAACCAACAGAAATGTCGGACGTCGAAGTGTGAGTACTTAACCCTATTTGTTTATTTCTCTCAAAATCGTATTTTTCTGATGATTCGTGGCGGGCTCCCTCTTCTGAGAGTTACCCAATAAATCAACCTTGCTGAAATCCGCCATCTGAGCCCCCTTGTCGCTCAGTTCCACCAAACAATTTGCTTGTGTACAACCTAACCTATAAATGTTTTCAGCGATGACACTCCCGTGGCCCCGCCGGCGACCGGTGGCGCGATGGACGTCAACCAAGCCCTCCAAGAAGTCCTAAAGACTGCGATGATCCACGACGGGATTGTGCACGGGCTCCATGAAGCCGCCAAAGCCTTGGATAAAAGACAGGCGGTACTGTGCGTTCTCGCCGAGAACTGTGACGAACCCATGTACAAAAAACTCGTGTCYGCGCTGTGCTCCGAACACAATATTCCCCTGATCAAAGTCGATAATAACAAGAAATTGGGCGAGTGGTCAGGACTGTGCAAAATCGACAACACGGGAAAAGCGAGGAAGGTTGTTGGGTGCTCTTGCGTCGTCATTAGGGTAAGTGCAGATTATTCTAACAATTTTCCACACAAAACAGTAATTTTATTTCAGGATTACGGCGAGGAATCACCGGCACTAGATGTTCTTAAAGAATACCTTAAGAACGCTAAGTAATTGTTTATTTTATAAAAATAAAATTTCATAAAAAGTTATTGTGTTTTATTGCAAATTTCCTTGTGTGTGGGCCAGTCAGTCACCTGGCATGAACGCGAACAATACCAAACTTTTTTACAATGCGAACATCTCTGAATTGCGTTTTTCCCACACTGCTGACAGGAAGCTTTCTCCTTGACTTCGAATTTCTCAATCAAGTCGGTGTTGTAAGCGTCACTCAACCTGAAAAATTCATTTGGGAACATGAAACTGAATGAACATCACTGCTTGAATGGCCTTCTCCTACGAGAATTTTTTTATCAAAAAAATAAAAATTTTAAATTTAGGGAATTTTGCGTTTGCTGGTAACACGTAGCAAGATGTTAAAAAAATCAACTCGAACCGATATTTGGCATTTTGTGGATAATTTGAAAATAAATTCTCAAGGCAAATTTTTCATGTACACCCTCGAAATTCGGAAAATTGCTAAGAATATTGAAAGTAATTTACTTGTAACGGCATTGTCACCAACATAAAATACACTAGCCTATTAACGCATCCAAACGAGTTCTTAAAACGCAAAATAGAAATCTAAAGTTAGTTCAAAATATTTTTTTTATAACAACTTAGCGATTTTTTAACTCTACAGTAAAATCTTGCGAAAACAACAAATAAAGTTTTCAGCTTAAAAATCTGTTCAAATGCTGGAAAAAGGCAAATTATTTTCGGAATGATTTTCTGATTTTCCGGCTTGTTTTTCACAAAAGTTGGCGAAATGATTGCATTTCGCTAGAAAACGCTCAAAAAATGCAAAAATAAAAACTTGTCATCGCGAAATCTCCCAAAAAACTGATATTTTAGCACAAATACGTGCTTAAAAGTACTTTCAACTAAATATTTTTTTTGATTTCTTAGATTTTCTTTTAATTTTGCTCAAAAATCAGTAAAATCGAGTGAAACAAATAGAATAATATCAATATCAAGCGTGTTTAAACACTCGATAAAGGTAAAAATAACACCACTGTAGGCCATAATTTTGTTGATTTTTTGGCTTTTTTAAAAATCATTACGTTTCTAGCGAAAAAACGCTAAAACGTCCGAGTAATCCAAAAATAATATGATTTTCGACTACATTTGTTGATTTCTTGACTTATTTTAGCAAAATTTCGCGAAAAAACTGAGATTTCAGTACAAAAACGTGCTCAATTTTGTGATTTCGTAGCATATTTTTGCCTTAATGTTGCTCAAAAATCAGTTAAATCTATTGAAACAAATAAAACAACATCAATATCAATTCTTTTTGTGTTTTTTTGTGAATGTTTGGACAAAATTTTGCAAAATAAATGAGCCTCTGGTTTAAAAACGAAGTAAGCCGAGCGAAACAAACTAAAAAAAATGTCAAATTTTATTTAATTCTGTAATTTTTTAGCCTGTGCAAATGAAATTTTTCCAAAATTTTTTCTTTTATTTCAAAAACAGCTAAAATTGACACCATTTTAGATCAACTTTGTGGAATTTTTTCACATAAATTGAGTCGTTAAAGCTTAAAAGTTAGGTAATAATAATAATATAATCTTTTTTATAGATACTAAATATAACAATTTAGAGATTTTTGACTCGGTATGACTCAGTCTTCAACTTAATAATCTGATTAAGATCTCGAAAACGGCAAAATTTTCGGCCTAATTCTTTAATTATTCAACATTTTGTAAAAAAATGAGTTTCTAGCTAAAAAGCATGCTAAAAAAGCTCGAGTAACGTGCAAAAGTAATATAATTTTCGACTTAACTTATTGATCTTTTGATTTGTTTTCGTGAAATCTGGCGAAAAACTTAAGATCTTAGCACAAAAACAAACCAATTTTGTGGTTTTTTGGCTTACTTTTGTGCCTACAAACCAGGTAAATCGTATGAAACAAACAAAATTACATCAATATCAATTACACAGGGCGACAAAAAGTCATGTCGTGACGTTAGGTAATAATAATAATAAATATTTTTTATATTACAACAATTTAGAGATTTTTGATTCGGTATGTCTCACAGTTTTTAGCTTAAAAATCTGATTAAGATCTCCAAAACGGCAAATTTTCGGCCTAATTCTGTAATTATTCAACATTTTGTAAAAAAAATGACTTTCTAGCTGAAAAACATGCTAAAAAAGCTCAAGTAACGCAAAAGTAATATAATTTTCGACTTAACTTATTGATCTTTTGATTTGTTTTCGTGAAATCTGGCGAAAAACTTAAGATCTTAGCACAAAAACAAACCAATTTTGTGGTTTTTTGGCTTACTTTTGTGCCTACAAACCAGGTAAATCGTATGAAACAAACAAAATTACATCAATATCAATTACACAGGGCGACAAAAAGTCATGTCGTGACGTTAGGTAATAATAATAATAAATATTTTTTATATTACAACAATTTAGAGATTTTTGATTCGGTATGTCTCACAGTTTTTAGCTTAAAAATCTGATTAAGATCTCCAAAACGGCAAATTTTCGGCCTAATTCTGTAATTATTCAACATTTTGTAAAAAAAATGACTTTCTAGCTGAAAAACATGCTAAAAAAGCTCAAGTAACGCAAAAGTAATATAATTTTCGACTTAACTTATTGATCTTTTGATTTGTTTTAGCGAAATATGGCCAAAAGTTTAAGATCTTAACACAAAAACAAAGCAATTTTGTGGTTTTTCGGCTTATTTTTGTGCTTAAAAATCAGGTAAATCATGTGAAACACACAAAATTACATCAATTTCAATTATTCTTTTTGCGATTATTCGATTATTAGGCAAGATTCTGCAAAATAAATGAGTCTCTGGTTCAAACACTGTTTTTTAGTCTGTTTTTCAAAATTAAACACTCAAAAAAGGCAAAAATAACACCACTTTCCACCTGTTTTACCTTTTTTCCATAGAGAAATTTATTTAAAAGATTCAGGTTTGTTATCATTACTGAGCAAAAATTGAAGTAGTTCGCGAAAATATTCGTATATTCGCTTCGTTCTCTGAACTTGGATAACAATCAATGCTTTTAATTTCCCCCAATAAATACATACGTCTGTGCATACTCCATGAGAGTCTTTTGATCGTTGCAAAACACCACTGGCAACTGCTCCTTCGCCACCTTCTTCCACTTGCCCCCCACTTGCGCCACAATCCGCTCCTTGACCTCCAACACCGTCTCGAGCAAAATCGGCTTCGCCCCCTTGGCCACTTGCTCGGCCATCGCAACATGTGCCAACCACTGCTTCAACTCGACAAGTGGCGCCAACTGATCCATCAAAACCGGCGTTAGCATCACCATCACCTTGCCCAATTGCGCCCTCCGCGACTCCGTGACGGTGTAAAAGTCGCGACAAGCCCCATCTAGCAACAACTGACGCAGAGCCAACCAGACTTGGGCCTCGGCCTGGCCCAAAGCCTCGCCGTCCCAATCCATCCACTTCCCGGCCGAGTACTGCTTCCCGTCGCGAATCCAGGGCCGGACGAGGAGAATTTGGGCCAACAACATGGGGACATCGCACGTGGAGTACATCCGGGAGGCGACACTGAGCGGGAGCCGGTCCAGGTACTCCGCCATGTAGCGAATAATCGACAAACACCGGATTCCAATATCGAATTTCAAGTCCTCGAGTTGTTTTAACAATTCTGTTGATTCTTTCTTGATTGAGAGGAGTTGTGATGTTGTCCCGCAAGCGTAGTCGAGTAAATCCCCCGAGGAGTCGCCCAAACTGTCACAACAACTCCCATGATACATCACCAGTTCCAGTAGGGCCACACAGACGGCTTCGTGGTACAGAATTGTGTATGCCATGAAGGTGTTTTTGGGCTCGGGGTCGAGTTTCAGCATCTGGGGCAGCACTTTGTGTTTCCAGATGTTGACAAGGATGGCTTCGTGGACCAGGATGGGGGCTTTCTGGAACGCGACTAGTGTCTCTTTGACGTGCTCTTCGCGCAATTGCGAGGCTTCGATTAGGGCTTGTTGGTTCAGTTTTTGGAGTCTTTGGTGCCACTCCAACCACCTGGAAAGGACAAGGATTAGGGGGGGATTAACCTCGTCGGGGGTTTACTGTTTGTTTCCGATGGCTCGGATGTCTTGGGGGGCCATCGTATCGACGTAAAACTCGATCTCTGTGGGGAGAAGAACGCTGTCCATTTTTGACACTATCGATCAAGCGGTTGTTAAGGTAATGAAAGACTCGTTTCGTGTCATTTTTATAAAATCTGACATAAAAAGAAACTACAATACACTTATAGAGAATCAAAATATACAAACATTCTGAGTATTGAGCACAATATTTTGTTCTTGCACAARCAAGCTGTCAATATATCTTCAATACATAAAAATATATCATTTATCAGTCACATAATTATTGTTTTCTTATGTACAAGGACGTTATTTCTGTTCGTATAAACACCATCGGGCAAGATTTTATGTAACAACAACAATATCAAAGAAATACATCAGATAATTACTTAATAATATGTACAGCTATAATATACAGCTGCCGAATATTTTTAAATAAATGGCACAATTCACAGCAATTGAAAATAAAACTAAATACGCATTATGAGATATGTCACTAGATCTCCTCAGGGACTGGTGTCGGGGCCTCATCGGCCGGATGRTGCAAAAGGACGGCCTTCTCCTCGCCACGCCCACTTCCGGTGCCGTTGTAGACCGATTCGTAWACGGGGTTGGCAAAATTGCCAGACTAAAAAATATTTTCAAATAAATTTCAAGTTTAGTGACAAAAGCGACAATCTATTGGCAACACTGAATTAGTGATGATGTTAGTCTGCTTTTTTTTTAAATAGAAATTACCGAGGTAAAATTTTGGTGAAAAAATTGAAAGCAGCTTGTCTCTAAAGCCACAAATTTTGTTAAAAAATTATGGTTATGTGTTCAAATTGAGATGTTGTCAAAATTTTGACTTTTATGAATCTTGTGTGCCGGTCTAAAGACAGAATTCAGTGCTAATAATTTTGTGTAATTTATTGAAATGAGCTCAAAGTTGATGCAATTTATAAATTCTTCTTCAGCTTTAGTTTCAAAATTGTTACTTTTTCAACTCGTTCCTCAAAAACGATGCACAAGACACTAATTTAATTGCGTTTTTTCCGAGGTTCTTTTTCATTCATGTTTATTTTGTATTCTTGTCAATTTCTTGCTAAAAATTGAAAATGTTTAGCAAACCTGCATTATAAATTGCGTCTACATTTTAACGGGCCCTTTT